TTCTTGATGTGCTATGTATAATTTGTCAGTAGATTGTAGGAGTAATATGGTTCTCTCTGGTTTTCAAAACTAGCTAGGCATTGGTTATCTCTCACATTGTCTCACCCTTCCATCATGGTTTTCCCACTTAAGGTGCCCCTATTTCCCCCCTTTCTCCCTTACTAATACACTTCTCCTACCTCTCTTGAGCTCCTTTTTTCCCTTTATCCCCTAGGTTCCTTGTATACCCTTCCCTCCCCATGCCCTTAAACTAACCCAAGTTTTATCCATATCTTCCTTATTAATGTCTGTTCCCTACTGTTCTTCTCTTGCAGGTTCTTTCTTTTCCTTTAGCTCCCTGGTTCCTTTCCATCCTCCTGGTTATAGTCATGTCTGGGTACATACTCATTTATTAGGATTTGGTTCTAGGATCCACATATGAGGGAGAACATATGTTGATTTTCTTTTTCTGAGTCTGTGTTACTTCACTTAGTATAACAGTTCTAGTTCCATCAGTTTGCCTTCAAATTTCATGATTTCATCTTTCTTTACTCCATATAGGTAAGTGCACCCATTTTGTGCAATGTCCAAGGAGGACAGAAGAGGTTGTTGGATCCCCTGGAACTGGAGTTATGGACAGTTGTTAGCTGCCATGTGGGTGTTGGGAGTCTAACCCTGGTATTCTGCAACAAGATCCAGTGCTCTTAACCACTGATTCATCTCTCCAGCCCCAGAACTGCTATTAAAATGAATTCCTCAGCCTCAGGCTATATGTGCTGTCAAACACTTAGACACCAGAAGCTATTTGTATAAGATAACTAACTTTAAATTTTAGTACCACAAATGGAATGCAAATCACAAGTTGCCACATTAATTATGTTATGTATGCATAAATATTTGTGTGTTGTGGGCGTGCCATCTGTGTGCATGTGTGTACACATGCACGTGGAGGACAGAGACCAGTGTCTGGCTTCTTTGCATATCCTCTCTAATGTATTTCTTGAGACAGGGTTTCCCACTGTACCCAGAGTTCACCAACTCAGCTAGACTATCTGCTCTGGTGAAGATTTTCTCCCATTCTGTGGGTTTTCTGTTTGTTTCCTTTGTTGTCTCCTTTGATGTACAGAAGCTTTTTAGTTTAATGAGGTCCCACTTGTTTATTCTTCCCCTTGTTTCCTGAGCAATTGATGTCCGGTTTAGAAAATGTTTCCTACACCTATATCTTGTAGGTTTTTCCCAATGTTTTCTTCTAATACTTTCAGAGTTTCAGGCTTTACATTGAGGCCTTTGAGCCATTTGGAATTCGCTTTTGTACAGGGTGAAAGATAGGGGTTTAGTTTCATTCTTCTACAAGTGGAGATCCAGTTTTGCTGGCACCATTTGCTGAACATGCTGTCTTTCCTCCAGTTAATGTTCTTAGCCTCTTTGTCAAATATCAGGTGGCTGAAATTGCATTTACTCTTATTTTGGTCTTCAATTTTGTTCCATTGGTCTAGTGCCAGTACCATGCTGTTTTTGTGACTATAGCTCTGTAATACAGCTTGAAATCTGGTATAGTAATCCCCCTGGCATTGCAGTGCTCAGGGTTGTTTTGGCTATCTGAGGTCTTTTGTGCTTCCATATGAATCTTAGGATAGTTTTTTCCAATTCTGTGAAAAATGTTATGGGGATTTTGATGGGCATTGCATTGAATTTATAAATCACTTTTGGTAGGATGGTCATTTTCACAATATTAATTCTTCCAATCCATGAGCATAGGAGGACCTTCCATCTTCTAGTATATTCCTCAATTTCTTTCTTTAAAGATTTAAAATTTTCATTGTAGAGCTCTTTAATATTTTTGGTCAGGTTTATTCTGAGGGTTATTTATTTATTTTTTGTGCAGCTATTGTGAAGGTGTTTCCATGTGCTCTTTCTCTGATTGCTTGTTATTGGTATACAGAAAGGCTACAGACTTTTGTAGATTAATTTTGTAACCTGCCACTCTACTGAATGGGTTAATAATTTCCAGGCGTCGCTTAGATATATTATCATATCATCTGCAAAAAGGGACAATTTGATGTCTTCTTTTCCAATTTTTTACTTCTTTAATTTCCTGTTCTTGTCTTATTGCTCTTGCAAGAGTTTCAAGCACTATGTTAAAGAGAAGTGGGGATAGTGGGCAGCCTTGTCTGGTTCCTGATTTCAATGGGAATGCTTCCAGTTTTTTCTCCATTTAGAATGCTGTTGGCTGTGGTTGGTTATACATGGCTTTAATTATGTTGAGGTATGTTCCCTCCAGTCCAATTCCTTCCAGGACTTTGAACATAAATGCATGTCTAATTTTGTCAAAGGCCTTCTCTGCATCTATTGAGATGGCCATATGGTTCTTGTCTTTGAGCCCATTTATATGATTTATGATGTTTATTGACTAATGTATATTGAACCATCCCTACATCTCTGGGATAAAGCCGACTAGACCATGGTGGATGATCTTTTTGATGT